ATTGGGGTAACACATGATTTCCTTTTCCACAGTCGCTCATCTTCAATTTGCAAGTCCCAGTACTTTGTGATTTTTTCTTGCTGCTTATCTTCAATCCGTGCATCACCAGGTATTGCAATGTCAATGAACAATACTTTTTTCTTTTCAGCTATTGTTATGTCAGGTGTGTTGTGGACCAAGTGCCTGTCAGTCTGAATCCTAAAGTCCCACAAGATCTTGAGTTTCTCATTCTCTAAAACTTTCTCAACCTGATGTTCCAAACTTCTGGCACAATTTCCAGTGAATGATCTTAGCAACACGGTCATGGCATTGTAGGTAGTCAGTTTGTGAAATTTTGCTGCACCCACTGATCAGGTGGTCGACTGTCTCATCTTTCTCATTGCAGAGGCGGCATTTGCTGTTGGTGGTAACATGTTGAATATTATTATTATTATTATTATTATTATTATTATTATTATTACTGTTGCTACATCTATATTAATTGTACCAATATATTTCATATTGTGTATGCTGACCTAAGTATTTTTAGTTTTTTTTCCCCCTTTCAAAATACCTAGGGCAAATACAGTATAATCATAATCTTATGCATCTAATGACCAAGAGTAATAGCGAAGAAGACTGTTCAGTTAAAGTTTTATCAATGAAACAGAAGCATTTATAATAGTGATGACAGTAAAAGATACAATAATTTCACAATTTTTTTAAAAAAATTGCACATTGAAAACTATTAAAATAAAGGTGGGGAAACAGGAAAGAGATAACAAGGAGTTATCCTTAAGTTAAAAGCTCCATCTGGCACAAGTTGAACCATTTTTTTTTCTCCTGGTAATCTTATCTGCTGAACTGAGAATTACTGCCATTGATTTTCAAAGCTTCACCGGGAAGTCTTTTCATTAGTTATTAAGTACAAATGAGAGGAATGTCTTTGGTTCAGAACTACAGAGCTTGAAAAGAGATGAACAAAGTAAAACTTGTACTGTGCACAGTTACATAGCAAGAACTGGATCTTGGAGCAGGCTCAAGATGCTGGAATGGAGGGATTCTACAAATGAGCACCAAGTTAGTGGCAGAAAAGACAGGTTTAATTATTGGCTCAATAGTCCAAATAGGCTTGTTAAGATCTTCCAGATTTGAAGCTTCTTACCACAATATTTTTTTCTCCTTATTTTGTATGCATCCTACAGCAAAGGTTTTCAACCTTTTTCATGACAAACATTTCCTAGGTGAGTCTTTCAGGTTCTGAAACCAGAAGTCATGTGACATCACAGGTTGCTGGCACCAGGAAGGAGAAATGGAGGCTGTTCAAATCAGGTGAAGTCACGGAAGTGAGGTTCTGCTTGATGTAGCATGCCTTCAAACCATTTGTGGCACATCACAAGAGATTGGTGGAGGGAGATTTGTGCTGCTCCAGATACACATCTGAACTAAGATTAAGTTAGCAGAGATATAGAGGAGATAACATTATTTTTTGACACATTGTTTTCTAGGAAAGCAATAAAAACTAGGAAATTTAAGAGTGAAAAAAGTTTTCACCTTAGGTGAGACATGAATGAATCACAGTATTTATATTTAATTCATTATAAGTGATGTAAGGTAATTTCACAAAACGTTTACACTTTGTCTTTTAAAACACTCAGTTTGTAAGTAATTACATTATGCTGTGATACAGGTAATAGTTCCTCTCTCTAAATGTATTGGAAAACTCTTCAACTCATCCCCAAAGAAATGAAGTGTTACAGCTTTACTAACTGATAGACAACACTAATCAAAGTCTATCAAGTATGATACACCTGCTGTTTCCAATTTTCTATATGTGGTAGAACAGACTCTCAAATAAAGTGAAAATTATTATATTTCCAAGAAACACTTTTTATTGTTCTTTGTTGCTTGTCCTACATTAGCAGGGTGGAACTACAAGAAAAAGGTAAGTATGTTTTATGAATTCTACTTCTTGGCTGCAATGACTTAATAAGGGGAAGGGATACCTTTGCAAATCAATAAATGACAGGCCCAGCTTCAAGTCAGAAGGAACCTTTTTAAGGGTTGGTTTACCCGGATTATTCGTTTCAATAATGTTTGAAGGACTGGGAGATGGTCTTTGGGGGGATTTAGAGGATTGGTTTTCTTTTTTGGAGAATGTTTTCATAGTTACATTTTATTTATTTTATTTGTCAAACACGTGTAAGATAACAGATATATGTATAAATATGATTATGAATACGGGATAAGGATACGGCTAAATGGGGACAGTAGGACAGGGATGGTACGTTGGTGTGCTTATGCACTGCCCTTACAGACCTCTTAGGAAAGGGGTGGGGTCAACAGTAGACAGTCTAAGGTTAAAGTTATGGGGGTTTGGGAAAGTTATACATCTTGTATAACAGCTGCAAGCATTCCTGAAACATGAGTTCCTTCTCTATTATTCACACTGGTGGTCAACTTTCACTTGGATTATTGTAATGCACTCTTCATGGGCTATTTTTGAAGAACATTCAGAAGGTACAGTTGAAATAGGATGTGCTGCCAGGTAGTGATAAGTGCATCCTAGTATACTATGGAGATCCCACTGTTTCAAGACCCACACAGATTGCCATCAGTTTATGGGTGAAATTAATGGTGTTGGTTGTCATCTATAAAATACAGCTTAAGACCTTGGTTATGAGAGGGATTAACTTTCTTCATGTTTAACTCCCTGTCCTATTAAAAAGGCTCAACTTCTTAATGGTAGACATCTGATGCAGCCTTAAAAGTAGTATTTTTCAATAGAAATTCTCACATTTTGGAAATTCATTTGAGTTGATAACAAGCCAGCTATATTCCTGAAAATGCTTGTTCTATCCAGTGCAGAAAAGGAAGATATGGTTGTGATCCAACTGAAAGATTGCTGAATTTTGCTGGTTTTTTAATTTTATTATTTTAGTTATACCTTTATGTATTTTGTGTCTTTTTCTTCTTATTTATCAATGTTTTATTTTACATGAAGATAGTCATTGTGAGCCTTCTGGGATTTGAAGTAGAATACAATAAAATAATAAAAACCCCAAAGAAATCCATCTGCTTGAAATTTTACCATAGTTATTTCTCAGTGTTTAGATCAATCCACTTTTCCTGTGAACTTCACCTCATGCTTGTTAAAAGTAAAACAGTTGTTGATACTTAAAAGAAAATCAGATTTTAAAGACGTATATATCAATATCTGTCTCTTCTCTAATTTTGTTTATTCTACATACAATATTTGATCTAGATTCTTTACTTCTAGCTGCAGAATAACTCAGTTTATTTGTGAGCTAAGGATGAAATTAAATTTGGGGGCTGAGATTTTTGCAGTGAAATAATGAATAATATAAAAATAATGAATTGATGCACTGCTGGAGTTATGTAAAAAAAACCCTACAATGTAAAGAAGGACATAGGGGAAAGAAAAAAGAAGAGTAATGAAAATATTTCTGTTGGGTTTGAATTGGGTTTGAATTACTAACCGTCTATTTAAAAGGTCAGAGTTGTAGCCACTATGCTATTACAGCATTCATGGAAAAGATAGCTCTAAGAGACAGATTCATGTCTTCCTTCCTTCCTTCCTTCCTTCCTTCCTTCCTTCCTTCCTTCCTTTCAAATAGTGACCCATTTCAAACAAATGTTCATGAGTGATGAACAATTCATGGTGATGAATAATCATAAAATCAATTAAACCAGTTAAAACAGAATACACATAGAAGCCATGATACATTATAACCTTTAGATATGAACAGTGCCAGGAAATGAGACCCTTTGCATTCTTAGGACCCAAATCTAGGCACATAAGTAGATCTTTAAGGCCTTCCCAAAACAGAATGTGACAATTTGTCTCAGCCATCTTGCCATGCCATCTTAAGGTCAAGAACTGCAGCCATCTTACCGTGGCCATTTTGCCATGGCCAACTTGCCATGGGACAACTAGCCATGGGACAACTCCATGCAGGATCTTAGTGTGATAAAGCTTATCTGCCACTTTTTCTTCTACATTATTCCCATTGACAAAAATGGAAATAATATCAAAGAAACAATGGAGGATAACATTTATTGTGTTGACAGCTAAATGAATTAATTTCATATCTTCTTATGTTCAAATAGATATATTTAGCTTGAGAATGTGCTGGTCTTTGGCTATAATAAAGGTTTGATTTGATTTGATAGCCTCTCACCGACCAGTACGCTCCCATAGAGAGGGGCTTCTCAGGGTGCCGTCGGCCAAACGGTGTTGACTGGCAGCCCCCAGGGGGAGAGCCTTCTCTGTGGGGGCACCTGCCATCTGGAACGAGCTCCCCCCGGAGATACGGAGGATCCTGGATCTGCGCACGTTTCGTCGTGCTCTCAAAACTTTTTTTATTTCAGCAGGTTGGCCTGGCCTAACTCTCCTCTTTTAAATTTTTAATTTGTTTGATTTTATAAATTGGGTGTTTTAATCTGTGTTTCGGCCAAAATATTTAATAATTTTAAGGGACTTTTAATATTTGTATTATCTGTATTTTATCTTGGCTGTTCACTGCCCTGAGTCCTCCAGGAGTAGGGCGGTATAGAAATTTGATTAATAATAAATAAATTGCATTAATGTAAGAAGAGTCATTCCTGTATTTCATTTCATTGGTCCAACTTGATAATTTGTTTTCGTCACTAATTTATAAATGAAGTCTGTGTCCCAATCATATATAAACAGTCATATGAAAAATGTATTACATTTTTACCACTCATGTACTTGAAATTAAATCCTTTCCATATTGAAAGAGAGAGGGGGGGGGGGAGAGGGAGAGAGAAGGAGAATTCTTGTGTTTTGTTCACAAACACTATCTTGCTGTATTTTAACTATGGGTTCAACCTCAACATCAGAGAAGCATTATGATGCTTTACACAAAAGAGCCAGTGTTTTATGAGGAACACCCAAAATAGAAAGCAGTAACCAGTGACATACTGTGAGTTTTCAAACCCAAAAACATAAGTGCCTTTTACTGGCAGGAAATTGTTGCTTCTCAAAGCTCTCAAAAGCCCCAAACTCAAAAGGACTTCTATTTCCCTTTATCAGATATTTATTAACAATTTTTGTATTCATTTTTTTTCCTAAAGCTAGAAGGTTTGGTGCCACAGGTAAGTTTTATTTATTTATTTTTCCACAGGGGAAAAAATAATGTTCATGCCTTTAATTAAAAAGAAAATCAAAATTCAGCCAGCTTTAAATGAAATTTCAAGACCAATTCCTTGTTTCTAAAAACATGCTTGTTTACAAGTAATATGTAATTATTTAGAATGTGACTTTAAAATCCAAAAAATGTATTTGGGCTTAGAATATAAATGGGTTGTGTTTTCCAATGCCATTTTCAAGGTATAAAATATTGTACTTTACCTTCCTTGTAAGAAACTCAGAAAATAAGTCTGTTTTCCACAAGTACTATGTTATCTATTTATGTATATAACTCCGTGGTTGATGATGGGATGATGAATACATAATTCTGCTAGAAAGAGGTTTAAATGTACAGATGTAATTTGGTTATGTAAATTCTGAATATCAATTCCACAGCTCTGATTGCAGACCTTTACACCTTAATTGTGAAATTACAATGCTAATTTACTAAAGATAAGGAATTCCACCTTTATTTCTATCATAGATTTTTTTCAAGTATAAGAGAACAAACATTAATTAAGAGTATCAGAATTAAAGTAGCAATAGTTTTGAATGTATTCATAAAATCATATTTTGGCTAGGAGGAGGTTGAACAACAACAATAATTCTCAATATGTATGCAGTATGGCTGAAAACGTATAACAGGTATAAATATAAACTAGACCAGTTGCCTTTGTTTTCACTGCATATACATTTTGAATAAAAATCCAGTTTCAGTTACATTCAAAACACAATTCTGTAAGTTACCTAGCCTGTAATATTATACAGTAAACTCTTTTGAGTGGAAATATCTTCAAAGTAGATGTCCATAGAATTTTGCTTTACAAACAAACAAACTGTAATATATTCTCAGCGCAACTGCCTCTGAAAGTTGTAAACCGTTCATTGACAACAAAGCTATAATTGGGAAAAAACGGTTACACAGATTCATTGTTTTCATGGCAGGTATAGAAATTCTGATCATTGTGTGCAATAAACAAACAAACAGAAGTATGTTTCACTGTATATGTGACAAACAGAACAAGAAATCTACAGAAGAGTCAATCTGTTTTCTTTAAATATTTTTTTCTCTCCTAATCTAATACACCATACATTTCAAGCACATACTTTAATGATAAAACAGTGTTATAACACATCTGGAACAACCTCATTGTTCTTTTGTTTGGTGGTTTTTTGGTTGAATTGCAATGGCAAAACTTAACTTCAGTGTTTCATATTTTCCAAAATTCATCCAATGCCCAATCCTAAATAATTTAGCTGGAAAATATTTTACTGTTTTTCATTGAGAAGATGTCTGGAGTCTATCATTTTTGTTTTTATCCAGTTTATATGAGTATAAAACTAAACCAGGGGGGAGAGCAACAGTATGTTTTGTGATTTCCTTCTTACAGGATATTTGTCTGTTGTTGTTTTTGTTGTTGTTGTTTGATTTTTGAGATGGAGGAAATAGATGGGAAATAGAAATTTGTTTCTGAAGTAGTATAAAGTGTTAGAATCAGACCTTGAGCAGTTAGAAATAAATTGTTTTTCCTGTCACACAACACACATACACACACACGTACACAAATGCACACAGAGAGATAGACTGCTATTATTTATTATCATTTATTATGTCTTATTTATTGTAAGAAAGTATTATATGCATTTAGTTGAAGTATCATGTACAATACTTGATAAATGGCTTTATAAATTCCAAGACCGAGCAAGGAAAGATCTCTCCTGATAATGAGTCTGTTGTGCTCTTTGTTGAAAGATATTTCACACATGAATGAACAATTTGCTTTTTCCTCATTTGATGACACATATCTAACTTCCCAAATGCTTATTTACCACTTGGTTATTACACATTAAGTGATGATTTACCCAATTACCCATATGAGGAATAAAATGGTCACCAATTTAGACAATAAATATATTCATGAAGGATGAGGTTGTTTGACTGTAAATCTTCCTGGTTTAAATAACACCAGAATCAATGACAGCATCCTATAACTGCTTGTTACTTTGATCTTTTGCTTTACTACAAATTTCTAGGATGCATCTGCTTTGATATATCATGAAACAAAACCCTGGATTAGATAGGCATTAATTTGATCCAGGAGGACTCTTTCTTTCAATGTAGATCCCAGAAAATTGAGGGCAGTAATTTGGGTTACAATACGAAGAAGTGCCAGGGAAATGTGTAGTGTAGGTATGTGTCAACCTTCAAGGTAATTGAGACCATGAAACCAAAACCATGAATGCAAATATACTTTTGCTGTAAGGTTACAATAACACAGTGGTGGGATTCAACCAGTTCAGGCTGGTTTGGGAGAACCAGTAGTTAAATTTATTGGTGGCCCCTCCCCTCCCTGCCCCTTCCAGAAGTCCCCACGTGCCTCAGTTTGGCTCCCAGGTAAGTGCAGGGAGGCCTACTAGGCACAAAATGGGGCATGGGGAGCCCCCCCCCCCACGCAGCCCGTTTTCACTTTCAGGAGGCTTCAGAAGGCCTACTAGGCCTACAATGGGGCACAGGAGGCATGTCCCCCCCACAGCCCATTTTTGCTCTCAGGGGGGTACAGGAGGCCAAGTACTGCCTGTCACACCCCTGACCACGCCCACCATGACCACACCCACCCATCTGGTCATTAGGGCAGAGAACCAGTTGTTAAATTATTTGAATCCCACCACTACAATAACACAATTTTGCAAGTCTGAAAGCTCTTCACTCTTCCTCTGCCTTTGATTTCCAGAAAAGTAGGGAGGTTCTTCTCAAATGCTTTCTCCCCTCCCTTTTCTTTTGGACTCAGATTTCATGTGTCTAGGATGCGGATCTTCTTCCTGTCTCCCAAGGTTATACTCACAGTTTATTACAGTATGATCTTACATCACAATAAGCAAGAATCACTTGAACTTTGTGATATTTTTGTGATATTACCCCAAATAAATCCAAAGTATGCTTACAATAAAGGAAATTCCACTCTAAGTAGCAAGTTTAATTTATTAATTTTTTATGCCACCCATCTCCTCTACAAGATGACTCTGGGTGGCTTACAAATATTATTGAATTATAATTTATTCATGATTCCTAATAAATATGCTAGGATTGCAGTTTTGGCCATCACCAGCAAAACATTGTGGCATTTTTAATTTGGCTAATCTTTAAAGAGTTTTACTTCACAATCTTTGTCTAATCTGACTTAATCTTTACATGGGATGTGTTGTTTATCTGTACTATCACTTTCCTCACTCCAAAGGCATCTATTTTCTTTACAAATAGGAAATGGAGCAATCAGCAGAGTTTATTTCTGCATGACATTTTACGAAATGATCAGGTATGCCAGCTGTTAATGATAATCTGGCATTTGAATGCAAATCTATTGTTACATTAAATGTGATGGGAGGAGGTGGAATAGCTTGCTATACTATTACCTGGATTTAAATTTGACTGGATGTGTCTTTCTTTCTTTCTTTCTTTCTTTCTTTCTTTCTTTCTTTCTTTCTTTCTTTCTTTTTTCTTTCCTTCCTTCCTTCCTTCCTTCCTTCCTTCCTTCTTTTCTTTCTTTCTTTCTTTCTTTCTTTCTTTCTTTCTTTCTTTCTTTCTCTCTCTATAGCATATCAGTCATTTAAGACTTTGTTCCATATCCCATTTGATCAAAGCAACAGAAAACTCAAAAATATGAAGGGAGGGAATGAAATCTTTTTTCTCCTCTTATTGGACATCATGGAAAGAGATGCTATGTTGGGCCTGCCATTGTGAGGAACTCCTAGAGATGTAAATACTTTGACAGTTGTTTGAAAACAGATGATTGTATTTAACAGAGGAAATAGACAGGGACAAACAGAAAGGAGCAGGATTTTTAACTGAAATGGGTCTCAAACTCAAGATAGCTGAATTATTGGATTGTATTTACTTAAAAGTATCCTCATGAAGTTTTGGTTCTTTTGGTGTCTTCTTTGAAGTCCTGTTGCATAAGAATGCATAATTGTCCATGAGTCCCAGTGCTTTATTTTCCCTCTCTTTTTGCTTTCAGTTCTAGATTCCTTTTCCAAATAGGTTATAAATAGATAAATCAAAATTCAAAATACCATGTATCTGCAGGTGGGTATGTCTCTATCTTTGTAATAGCAGAGGGAGTTAAAATATATATGTGGGGGAGGGGGGAATGTGTTTCTGGAAAGGAGGAAAAAACAGGCAAAGTTGTGTATGTCATAATATGCTTGCTTACTTATAACAAAAGTAGAGGCAGAGATCCATCATAGTGCTTTGGCCAGAACCACGAGGACAACATATCCTAGAAAACAGTAAAATGGTTCACTGATTTATCCAGAATATCAGAGTGAAAGACTTTATTTAATTCACAATAATCAAAAGAACACAGATTTTATTTACAAGGATTAGGAAGGCTAACCAGCATGAATTCTACACTCTGCATAATGGTGATGTAGGCGTGAACAGCAGAGAAAAGGCTTCCCTTAAAAATGTTATTAGATAAAACAAAGTTTCTAGACAGCATGTAAAAGGGACATAAATATAAACTCTTCTATAAATTTAGTGAGTAGACATCTAACATTATTCTTTAAGCTGAAGGTGTGTTTTAATTAAAAAAAAATACTGGTCATCACTATCCTGCCTTCCCATAAATATGGAGCAATCACTGAAATAGCACTTTCCCTATGCCTGTCAATTTAACAATTACATTTAATAAATCTCTAATCAGAGCTTGATCATAATGCTTGAGGATCCTGAAATGAACTTAAGTGGTCTTTGATCCCAAATGATGGAAAGTTGTAAATATATTGAGATCAACAGCTTCAAATGAAAGCAGACCGCCACTGTAGCTGATGTGAAATAGCTAGTTTATGATCCAGAAGCTTGGTCATAATCTGGCTCCATGCACTCTGCACCCACTACAACTCCACCAATGAAGCTTACCAGTCATTTGAAAAGAGTAAATAAAAGTAGGTCAGTTCTACTACCGTTTCC